AAAATCAGCCTATTTGGGCCAGTCTGAGCAAGGCGACCAGTATCACCTAAACCAAATTTGCCAAAAATCAGTTGATTCCTGTCTAGGCTGATTTTGAAGCTATCAGGATGCCACCTGCCAAAAATCATCGAATTTGGGTCAATCTGAGCTGTGTGTCGCCCAGACTAAAAACTGCCCAAAATCGTAAATTTTCAACTCTGGGAGGATCTACGGATTCTTTTGATGCTTCCAGCTAAAATTTGGGTCAAAACGAGGTATTTTGCTATTTTTAATATATTTTTACCAAAACAGGGTATTCTATAGAATTCTAGATCACAAGGCAGGTAGTATGGACTATGGTGGACTATAGTCTGGGGGTTTAATGGGATAATGTGGTCCAAAGGGTTCAAGAATATCACAGAATATGCCAATTTTAAATATAAGGTGTCTACGAATGTGAAAGAAAATAAGGAGTAGCAAATGCTTACACTAAAAGGATGCATACATCGTTTTTCTGGTAGCGATGACACCCAATAACATGTAGAGAATGTGAGAGCTTTGGTAGGTGGCCGGTCTTGCCAAAATAACACGAGAGAAGGCTAGAGATAGGGTTTGGATGTTAGATAGAGAAGTTAGAGATAGATTCCGAAGTCTGAAGCTTCGAGAGAATTTGTGTGGTTCAAACAGTTAAAAATCGGATGGAAAGAGGTATCCAAATGGAGAGAAGAATAGTAAGAGTTTCCAAAAAAATGATAAAGATATTCTAACCGAAGAAGAGTCTCTCCTACAAAGACTCTATGGTCTCAGTCAAATTTCCTCATGCATGGCGGTGTTGTGCTACCTTAAAAAAGAAGCAGAAGAGAAAATAATAATTATAATAAAAGCATAGCATGTGTACAATCAATATGAACATACCAAGGTTGATAAATATGCCACAAACGCAGAAATTACTTTCAGAGATACCCCTTTTTTGTTTTATCTTATATAACAGAGGATAGAAGTTTTAGCAAGCTCATATTTAGGTGCTTCCTTAATATACACCCAAATCATGGTTTTGAAATTTAAGGTGCTTTTATGGGTAAGGAAGCTTGTGTAACTCTAATATCCAATGCGCTGCCAAATGAAGACTCATCCAGGTTCGCTCTCAAAGTGGCCAAGGCTGTTATATACACTTTTTTAGTTCTTCCATGGTGTATAGTTGGGTTTCATCTCGAGGTTCATGTAAAAGAAAAACCAAAAAAGAAGAAAAAAAACAGAAATCAAGACAATATACAATATCAAAAGAAAATGGAAATCAACGTAGAGAAAAAAACATGATTGCCTTAGAGAGAAATAGCATAGTTGCATTTGTCGTGTGTGAAGCACATGTTAAAAGTTGAGATAGAGAGAAATGAGTGCATTATCAATAGAGTAATGCTATTTAAATACCAGTCTCTACGGCATTTATTAAGAGTAAAAATAGAGAGAGAGAGAGGGAGGGAGAGTTGTGGGGTGCATAAGTGAGGGAGAGAAGAGAGAGAGAGATGTGGGTAGTTACGAGAGAGGTAGAGAAAACATAGGAAGGAGAAACGTGGGTAGTTATGAGAGAGGTTGATCAGTCGGTATTTTTTAAAAAAATATTAAAAAAATATAAATAAAATCCCAAAAATAAGGAATTTGATTTCTAATACACTTTTTTATATTTTTTATATTATGGTAAATATTAAAAATCATTTTGGTCATTGATACTTACTTTTATATCTTTCCATCTTTTTTGAAAAAAAATTTAAAAATATCTCTAGGCACAAATCGATTCTTTAAAATCCATTTTTTCCATTAATTTTCAGCTTCATTTGAATGTGTTTTGTTTTAATCACTCTTTATAAGATTTTCATATTTTAGTAGTTTTTTTTTTTTGTTTTAATCAACAATTTGACCGTCCAGGACTAGCCCGGTTAGAACGGTTAAATTAGTCGGTTTACCGGTTAGGCCGGTTAAACCACATCTGGCCCCATGTCGGGTTAACTATTCCGATTCGATTTTGCGAACACTGAATGGGAGAGAAATACGTAGGACAAGGAGAAAAATATGGGAGACATAAATCTGGGGAAGCGAAGAAAAATGTGGGAGGGAGAGAGAGTAAATCATGAAGCGAGAGAGGAATTTATTTAAATTAGGAAGAGAAATTATAAATTAGGGAGAGAGAGAAGATGAGGCATCACCACACCAAAAAAGGAGGTACCTAGAAGATGAGAAATCATTGTACTAAAAAAAGGAGTTACCTATTTTTATGTCTTTGCATGAATGTAGGAAGGGAGAATGAGAATGTAGAAATGCGGGAGAGAGAAAAGATGGGTAAACAGATCAAGCAGGAGTCTCAGTCAGAATCACTCTACTTTATTGTGCCACAGCTATTATAAAGAACTTTCCTCCATTCATTACAAAAAAAAGGTGGTTTGCTTTCTTTCAAGCCTACAACGACCCGCCCCATAGCCATCCACTTTTGGTAGACTCGTTCGTTAGTCCATAGACAGGATCATCCACGGCCTCTTTGGTATAGGTAAAGGCCGTAAGAATCGGGCTTGTCTGTCTTGCTGGCAAACCAGACAAGTCCTCACATACTACATTAAGATTACCATCTAAGGAGCTCCGTTTGCTATCCAAAAACTGCTCAACAATAGTCGGACAAGTGGGTAATATTGGGGTGAACCATAAAATTTTGAGTAGAGCTGGATCTAAATGTTAACTAGGTAAGCGTCTTGTAGTAAGGGAGCAGAGCGTCCAATCCAAGGACCACGAGACGGCTAAGGGCTTAGCGACCAGGGAGCATTTAGGCAAATGACTTGGTACCAGGTAACTCGGGTAGCGTCCAATCCAAGGTTCTTTTTCTTTTGACATGAAGGATTTTGAGTTCAGGCTTGTTCCCGACGAATTTTGGAGCCAGGACCTGTCGCCCATCGAGGATTTTGACGAGGCAGCAATCCGCTGGCATGACAAACAAGGGCGGGCATTATGATCAGCAACTCACTCTCTTGAGAATTGCATTGCCGCCGTATATAGCATGGGGAATCTGATTAGCAATAAACCCACATTTAGGAACAAAAGAAAGAATCCATAGCAGGCGGAGCACCCCTCGCCTAGCAGTTATCCTTCTGCAGCCCTTTTCTTGAATTGATTCATCAATTCAAGAGCCAAAAAGGGGTTATATGTATTTGCATGCATGTATGATGGGGAGATAGAAATAAAAAAGAAAAAAGTAGAAGAGTTACCTATTAGTGTAGGATGGAGAGTGAGAGAGAGATAACGGATAAGTGTGGGAGTGTTGGAAAGAAAAGTAAATTAAAAGAAATAAAATACAGAGAACTTTTTGAACCATTTAAGGCACAAAAAAAGCCTAGTGGCAGCTTGGATTCGAGCTTTCAAACTGCTTGGGAAACAAAAATTGTCTGCTTAGCTCAAAATTTAGATGCCTAAGCACTGAAAAAACTAATGCCTTTGGACCTTAGGGTTGTTTCAGTCCCAACTTTTAAATCACCCACTACATTAGTTTTTTGTATTTTGGGTAGTTTGAAAATTCTCAAACCAAACAAACATATCGTTACTTGGCCTAGTCTGAGTGGAGTCGCCTTCGTCCTGCACAAAAAGACCCTAAAAAAGAAAAAATTAAAAATAGGTAAAGAAAAAAAAAAAAACTTTAAAAAGCTAAAATTAGTCTACAGAGATAGAAAAAATGAATTTTAAAAAAAAATCAATTTACAGTTTGGGACACTTTAAAAATTTTGAAAAAATAAAAAATAAAAATAGAATTACGGAATCTTTGCCAAAAACATGAAAATCATATAAAAACTTTTGTACAATATTTCTACATTTTTCAAACACTTTTTAGTTTTCTTTAAAATATTTTTATACACCCCGAGTTGTACAGAGAACTGAGGGCTACTCGTCTAATTAACTCACCCAAGTCCAAGTAGACTCTGCCAAGTCCTCAAACACTATGACCCAAAATATAAACCATCTTAAAATACTTTTATCTTATTTTGGGTCGGTACGTACATTTCCCTCACAAATCAGTTTTTGACGAACAATCAAGCAGAAAGAGTGAAATATTAGTTACCCAAGAAAGAGTGAAATATTAATTACCCAAAAAAGAGCTAAATATTTCATTCTTCGTGTTAGATAGTAGAGCACAAAGAACTCAAACTTAGGAGAACGATTTAAGATATGTCTTGTCAAATAGTAGATAATGTTTGTGGTTTCTGATAAACTTGTCTTTCGGTGAATTGAATTACTCTCTCCCACTCTTTCGATAAACTTGTCCTTTTGTGAATTGAATTACTCTCTCCCACTCTTTATGTGGAAAGAGAATGGTAAACAAAGCTTCTTTTCCTGCGTCAATCAGTGCCCAGTTGAGAGATTTTGCCCTTATCAATTTGGAGATTAATAAATTTCTCAAAATTAATTAAATATCCTAATAAATTTACTCAAAAGAAATACTTCTATAAATATTGTGGAAGGGCATTGAGGTCTTCTATTGCAAGATGTTGAGTTGTCATAATCTTTCTAAATTACTATTTTCAAGTAAAGGTCTATCTGTGGAAAAAAAAGATAATGTTACCCTCATCAGCCTTCTAAAACAAACGGTCCCATGAGAATAAGTCTGGGGTATTTACCATACGAACCTTCATATTTATCAAGTTTCGAATGTTTCTAATTATTAATTTAAGAAATAGAGGCAAGAAGAATTGCTTGGTGGCCAAGAGTCCTTAAATTTAAGGAGACTTTGTGATAATTAACTGTACTAACTGCTATTAATATTGGGATTACTATGCCATGGAAAGTTGCCTAAAAAAGCTCTAAAGGAGGGACAGTACAGGGTGTAGAAAGGGAAGTGAAATAAAAGAGTTTCAAAGGGAAGAGGAGAGCATTCGGTGAACCTAAAGGGAAGAGGAGAGCACTCAAATAGATATTTGAAATAGTAAGTATCTTCATAAACTCTCTGTTTTATCTTGTGTGAGAGAGAGGGAGCACAGATGTCAGGAGTCATGGTTATTAAGCAAAGGGATAAGAGAGGAAGGTTGTATAGGTGCTACTGCGGCAAGGTCTTTCCGAAATATCAAGCATTGGGAGGTCACATGTCAAGCCACACAAAGCCTCGTAAGCCGAAGGCCGAGAAGGGGAAGGCACAAAAGCACCAATGCCAGTTGTGTGAGGCCCTATTCGATATGGGTCAAGCACTAGGTGGACACATGAGGCGACATAGGGAATTGTTGATGAGGATCAAAGATCAAACTCAACAACATGGTGTTGGTGAGGCTGAACCATTAACTGATAGCACGACGAACCACAGGGAAGAGTTGAAGTTGATGACACAAGCTCAAGCTAAAGAAGAAGACAGAGAAAATAAAGGAGACGAAGAAGAAGAAGTAATGGAGAGTGGAACTGGTAGCAGATTTGTGCATGCCTTTAATCTCAATGAGCCTCCCGAAGCTTCTGAGATTATTGGAGACTCCCCTATGGTCTGATTCTGTGTAGCAGAGAGAGAGGAGATTATTGGACTATTATTCATTGTTTTGTTTAGGGATTATTAAGTCATGGATTCTTTCTTTTTAGTCATGTTATCTTGGATTGAAGGAGAATGGTCCCTTGGTTCTTTGAAACTTTGAATTTACTTTCTGATTTCTTTCGTTCTTATGGAAAGTATAATCTAGTTGATGGATTATTTTCCTTGAATTTATTTTCTTTGTTGATTTTTTTGTTCGTATTAGAGAAGTACGCCTAAATAGAGTGATGGCAATTCTATTTATCCCCAAAGATTGACGGTGAAAAGATAATGTGATCTTGAAAATATATGTGATAATGGCAACTTCCCAAAATTGGATATGAGTCGGCCAACTCATACGCGGAACCCCTCTTAAACCATCTTGCAAATAGATTTTTAATGATCTAGGTTAAGATGATGAGGAACATTAAAAAAAAAAAAAAATTGATTTTTAAAATGTGATTTTTTTGAAAAACTTTCTACACCTTTATAAATCTTGTGAGTTTTTTACAACGATTGGTGAGTCAGCAGGCCCTTGTACGCGCTGACTCGTGAAGGACTTTTCCTCCAAAAATTTTCTCTCCAATCTAATCGTTGGCTCTCACTAGCCTATACCTTCCCCCCTCTCTCTTCTGAGATGTGGACATGAACCATAAACCTTCCTCTCTCTCTGCGGAGATGTGGACATGAACCATAGTAAACGAGTGAGATAATAAATCAGTGCGACAAACGCATTCGCATGTGTGGGCTATAGCATGTGTCGATCTAATTTTTGAAATATTTTAACCATTCGACCACACTTATTCAATATTTATACGATTCATATTCATACGATTTTGAGTGAACAACGTCGACATACTTCTTACCAATGTTGTGAAACCCAATTGTTGGACATAACATTTATCTTACAAACTTCTTACCAATGTTGTAAAACCCAATTATTGGGGCATAACATTTAAAATCCGGGTTGGATCACTAGATCGGCAAATCGAATATTTCTTACCAATTGTTGAAGCAGAACATTTATCTTACAAATCTATGTTGGATCAGTTGCCATTCAAATCGGATCTTTATCGGTCTACATCCGTGATCCAAAATAATATTATAAAATAAATTAAAAATGAAAATCTAAATAGAGCTTTATAAGATAGAGATATAGTGGGGAACTAAAAAATATTTAAAAAAATAAAAAGAAAATTACATTAGGGGATAGGGTGTAAGTGAGCTGGGACATATACTATCCCTAAATTGGTTTGATCCTGACCAATTCCCAGGATCTTGAAACACTGCTTCTTATATTCACTGGGCCTTGAAACAATGCTTCTTATATTGGCTCCATTGAAGGGAAAGAATGAACTCGTTTCATTTTCCTCTGAAAGGAGCCTCTAACACTTACTCCGTAACTACATTGGAGTACAACCAAGCAAACAAAACATCAAGCTAGAAAAGAGTAGTACCCAAAGCGTTTCTATGAACTCGATCAGACAAAAAACATCCAATCGATTTAATAGATTTCTTTTTTTTACCATCTTTATGTTTTGTTGGACATGAATACACTCGTTCTAACGAATGGATATCTTATGTATGCATTGGCCATTCTGGTCTAGATCAGGGGAATCGGATTTGGCCAAACACTAGTCAAATTTTTTCTAATATTTTTCATATTTTCTTTTTCATTTTACAATAATCTGGCCAATCAATTCAACTAACAATCGTCCTGTTAGTTGATATGATTTTTGAGGATATATATATATATATATATATATATACATATATATATATATATATATAT